CTACATAAATGTTTTAAAATCTAGAAAATGAAAAATCTAATTTTCAAAAAATGGCGATATTTGTAAATGTATATACATCACCCCTGCCACTTTAAATAAAATAAAACCACTATTATAATTTGAAATTTCCATGGATCCTCACCACATCACTTTCTTATTTTCTTTCTAGCCAAGGCATCCGCAACATTATTAATCACTAATTAACGTGTATCAGATATTAGTTAATTAAAAGGCTCGAACTTAGGAACTATAGTAGAACATCCATAAATTAATACTCGATAAATTAATATATATTAAATATCTCTATAAAATAATATAATTTTTTTTGTCTTAAATTAAATTTTTGGTTCGATTAATATATCGATAAATTAATATCTCTCTAAATAAATAAATAAAATAAAATGTTAGTGTAGTCCTAACATTATTAATTTATTGAGGTTTCACATTACGATCGGTGAAATATTTGTAAGTTCATAGAGAAGTTTATATCTTATTTGATCCGATAATATGTGAAATTTGTAGACAACAAGAAAAGTTAACTGTTTACTGAAAACAAATGTCCAGTTAGTGACTAGGCTTGTCTCATTAGTGGTCTCCCCTTTTTTGGCGTTAAGCATCACACCACGATTTTTTATCCCTTTCCTCCTACTTGAAAGACATGAATTCATGACTAGCTTTACAACCATATTTTCAAAAGATTCCGACGTTGACTGCTGACTATTGACTTTGACAGAAAATATGATTAGCAACATGTGTACTTATTAATTAAGTAAATTTCAGAGGACAATAGATGAGATGAGACCTTGTGAAATGTAAGTGTGTATGAAGATAAGTTACATCTATTAGCATCATTAGTTGTCACCAGTCTTTATTGTTCAGGGAATCTAAACAATATCATCTTTTGTATGTACCAATCATGTCTAAAGTACAACGTTATCGTTTTGATTCTAGGCCATTGCTATATACAGGTGTTTCTCTTTTGCGTATATACTTTATTTTCCATGTCTTATTTTGATCAGTACTCCCAAGATCATTACAGAAGCCAACGCCTATTTTATTTTGTGTATATATAGGTTTTCATATTAATAATTTTTACGTAAATGTTACTACAAGTGTATACGTATAATACCGTATGAGTGTGAGTGTGAAAACTAACTTAGCTTGTGATCCTTTTTCGAAAAAGGGCATAAGTAATTTTGGAAGATTCGTATTTGCATTATTGTGAAACAGCTGTAGAGTCAAATACGTGACTTTTTATACAAGGCCAACACATTGCTTTCTTACGTAAAGACCGAAAGCGAATTGCATCCACAAAATATTGTTTCTTTTCTATAGATCTGAAAACGTGCATCCATTTATTTTACTATCAATAGTAAGGACTAAAGATCTAGTATTAGAGATGATTTTGGGTTTAAACCTGGTTTGGTTTATCAAGTGTATGTTCTGGTTCATTTGTGGCTAGTAAACTCCGGTTTATAGGATCTTTGCAAATACTCCTATAATGTAAGCTTTTATTATGTTTCAGGTGGAATGAATTGAAAACATTCTCCTAATTAGTTCATGCTAAAATGTAATTCAATGTACCTTCCCTAAATACAAATCTTAATTACCCAAACAGCACGAGTGCCATATTAAATTAGAAACCATCAATAATCAATATGATTGTAACTATATGGTCGTTAAAAGAAACGAGTGTTTTAAGACTAATACCACAAATACAACTCCTCAAAATGATCACAACTTAAGTGGTTTATTTACAAAAGAGGACAACATAATCACCCCTACCGGTTGCTGGAAACATTCAACTTAAAACAGAAACACAAAGAGAAGCAGAATTACAAAAGCTTACACGATGAGATTACCAACATATTATTATATATATATCAACCCTACAAAAGATCATGGCGGCGCAAATATCCTAAATCCCAAGAAAAGGACCACTCAAGGATGAGTGGGGCAGATCCGCCCGTCGTTGCCCTTCCCGTGGCCGTCGCCTTTAGAGTGATCAGTGATCCGGCTAATACCGGAGGGAGAAAAGGCAGAGATAATGGCTTCGAAGGCCATAGTCTTGACAAGCTTCCTCTTAACGGGAATCACACTCGCTGCTTCTTTCTTCACCTTACGGTCCGCGGTATAACTAGAACTCTCTCCTTTGGAACTCATTATGATTAGCCTTTTTATTTTTAGATCTATGTGTATATATGTATGTTTTATGTTTGTGTTTGTTGCTTTTGTAATTGTGAAGCCATGCAAAATGTGGGCTGGTTTATATAATAGGCAGATGAGATGCCTTTAAGTGAGAACCGTTAACTTCTGCTCTAAGTTGCTCCATGTCGTGTCAGCCAACCATTTGCTGGAAAGAGGAAATTTAAGCTAACATCTACTTTTGATATAAGGTCCGAATGAAATAACAAAATTAAGCGAAACTTACCTTAAATTTCGTGAACATTTGAATATTTCTGGAATATACGTGGATACATATCGATTCTGTAAATAAATAAAATAAAATTAACAGTTAAATCCTATAGGAAATTTCCATGCAAAATTAACATTAGCAGATGAGGCCGGGCAGCAACTTGAAAACCAAGCAACTGGGAAGACAACGTTCGACACATTACTTAACGATTACATTTCCATTCACGACACTTGTCATATATAATTTGAGCGAATATACATAGAGTCTAGATAATATTCTTTTCATTTAGTAATAAATGATGTTTCAGTATTATTTCTGTTTAGAAATGAGTCTATTTTATATTTTAAATACATAAAAAATTAAAACAAATTAAATGGTTTGTCTATTATTTTATATTTTACTCTTATTATTATGTTGTGCATCATATAATAATTGTTGATGTCTAGTATTATATATTTAATAATAGTAATGATAATAACAAGAATAATCGACCCTTGCTATTATACTAATCGATCACACTTTCTTTTAACATCAAACGAATAATTCATCATTAATCAAAACATAAAACTTTAAATCCTTAAACTATTAACAAAATTGTCTTACAATGATACTGTTTATGCTTTTTAGTTATAAATGTCCAAGATGTTTTGTTCCATTGAATATACAAGGAGAATCAAGAGATGTGATCTTTTGTTGAAAACAGTGTAGAGACATAACTGTACATGTAGATTTCCTTTGGATCTAGACAGTATCCTTTTCCATGAAATCATATCGGGATAACTGAAGTCATATACTGTCCTTTTGTTTCTTTTTCCCATCTTCGTGTTCTGTACTTTCTGTCTAGTATTAAAAAAAGAAGCGTTCAGACCACACCATCAATACTTGGTCGTTAGGAACCACACAAAGATCAGCCAAGGGCCCATTTCATTTCCTAAATTACTTTTATATAATCTAAAGATTTTGTTGTCAGATATCTGTGCACAAAAATGAAAGAAACGTGACGAGATTACAGAACAAATAAATATATAGTTTTTTAGATTCAAATATATTAAGAGGGATTTTTTTTTTAGGATTCAAATATATTAAGAGATAAAATCACAAACGAAAAAACATAATTAAGAAATCACGAACAAGAACAAACCAAAGAAGAAAAAATCAACAAGCAATTGATGAAAATGACAGAAGTATTCAATTTCTCTCTGATACCATATTAAGAGTGTAACAAATTTAAACTATATTTTTGATTAAATAATGAGTAAATGTATGTGGGGAGTTTATATTATAGTGTTGTTACTAACTGTACATGTATAGTAAGCTATATGCAGAGTGTACGTATATTAACACCTTATAAAATACAACCATGATTAATCGCGGCTGTGAATTACGATATTAACATTACCACGAAACAGCTGTGGAGCACTAGTAGACGTGGACGTTACAGTAATAAAGTTGTTATCCAAAAAAAACATAAGGTTTTTCCCATATAACTGATGATAATACTAATAAACGGATGAACCCAGATAGTTTCCGTGTATAAGTTTACAAAGTTATATTATAAAGAAAATTAATCAACGGAATATCTAGCTGCATTTTGACTAGAATTCGAGAATAAATGAATGAACTGGCAAAGGGACACGGTGCAGATGAACTTCTTTGCCAAGACAATGTGAAGTGAATTACAATTAAGATGAACATACATGAACATGAGGCTGATACCATTCTCTAATTTTCGTTTTTTATATTGAAATATATAATATTTGTAGTAACTAAGAAGTGAGGTAGTGTGTCATATTCCGAGGGGCCACCAACTTCTTAATTAAGGTTGGATTTCCACTGCAAACAGCGAAAGAAAACAGATATACTATTTATGGATTATCAACAGATTGTTATATAGTATTACAAGTCTTCGAAATTTTACTGAACATATTCCGCGTTACTTTTTTATGTTTTTTCTTAATCAAGAGGTGTCCGACCATTCGGTCTAAATAATCCCTTCCAGATTGAAAAGATAAAATTTTGTTATACTTAAACATGGTATAATCATTTTTCCTATCAGGAACGCAATAAGATCATCATTTGCGATTAAACTAACTGATCTACTGTGTTCGGTATATTCAGTGTTTTTTTTTTGTTGCTTAAAGCCATGTTCTAAAAGTTGGACGTTTAGACGCTAAACGATGTTTAGACGTTAAATCCCATTTATCTACTCAGATTTATGTTAAATCGTTTAAGAAATTTGATGTCCATCTAAATTGTTTAATTGACCATATACCCATCTAATCAACTGCCTAAGCTATTTTTTATTATTAAATTATTTTAAAATAATACTTTTATTTATTTATTTGATTAAAATTTATAATGTAATTTATATTTATAATTTTGGTGAAGAGTATACCGTATTAAATTTATATTTTATTTTTGAGTGCTTTATACAATTTTAAATTAAATATATTAAGATTATGAATAATAAAAGATTAATATTACTTATAAGATATTACACAATCTAAATTTTATGTTTTGTGTAATTTATATATATTCCCCTGTTTTTTTGTTAGGTGCTCTACTCAACTTAATCGCCTAATTAGTGCCTATCGCGATTCTGCTCATGAATTATAAATCTTCCATATTTGTTCAAAAACATCAGTCAGGGTTAATTATATTCTTTTATAAGTCTTCCATATTTGTTCAAAAACACAGTCAGGATTACATATTTTTTATTCATGAGAGCCTATAACAAAACAAAATTTTGTTCCATTTGTGTAACTAAACGGACAATGATTACATTGTCTTTAATTATATGATCTTCCTCCTTTTCTTTTGTTGATTTTAGACATTAAGCGTGTTATCTCGGCTTAACTTCTAGAAATGGATATTTATAATTTTATTTGATTGCTCATATTTAATATAATATGTTTAGAAATAGCCATTCCCTAGGTTAGGATGTAAAAAGTTACAGGTTTATGATCAAATCTTATCAAGAAATTTAGTACTATAAATTATTTTGTGGGGGTAGTTAATAATGTACAGTTTATAGTCTTGTCACTTGCCAAGGATGTGTATCTCCCATGTAAATCGTTTGCGGACTTTAGCTCGAATGCGTCGGATCGATCTGTTGAACATTTTTAATATTTTTAATATGAAAAAGTCTTTTTGAACTTTACTACAATAATATAGATATTTTGGAACCAAATTAACAATTAGCATTAAGTACAATGTTAATTTCCCTTCTTGAGAAAAAACTAGAAAGTTAATATAGCTCCAAGACATTCGAGGTTAAGTCCGCAAACAATTGTGATTATGAGAAACAAACGAGTACCGTTTTCATAGTCGTAGATTAAATACAACCCTTCACAATAACCACAACCTGTTTATTTATTTACCAACAGAGGATGAATCATCATCACGCTACCGGAAACTGAACAATACAAACATTTAAATTTTAGAAAAAAAAAAACAAAAGAGGCCCAATATTACAAAAAACTTAGACATCAAGAACACCTTATATTTTTTTCTTTTTTTTTGAAACAGAACACCTTATTATGTGTATAAAAAGCATGGAGAAAAACACAAAGTTCGTAACGGCGGCACAAATATCTTAAGAAATGAGCGATCAGCGACGAGTAGGATGCACGCGTCCTCCGTTACCGTTGCCAGTAGGCTCGGAGCTCCGGCTACACCCAGAGCTAGAGGGGATGAAGGCAGAGATAATGGTTTTCACGACCATAGTTTTTACCAGCTTTCTCTCAACGGGAATCACACTCGCTGTTTCTTTCTTCACCTTCCGATCAACCGCAGAACTGGAACCTTCCCCTGTGAAACTCATCTTTAGCCTATCACTACAAGAAAACAGCGATATTCCGAGGGCCAATTTCCTCGGAATATCGTCGGAATACACGTATTCCGAGGACATTCCGAGGAAAAAGGTCGTCGGAATTTTTTCGTCGGAAAAAAATATTTCCTCGGAATTTCGTCAGACACACCGACGAAATTCCGAGGACTTCCGATGGACCAACATTCCGACGAAATTACGATG